AAAAAGTAATGGAAATGCTTTTTATATGGATTATATCAGTTACATATGTGTCAAAACTGATCAAATTGCATACTTCAAATATGTGCATGTTATTGTACTTCAATTTTACCTCAATAAAGCTATGGGGAAAAAAGAAATGAATTACTGAGGTGTTTCATGATTTTTTTTTTAATATTAAGTCTTTGATATCTGAGGTGTATTTTACACTTGTAGCACACTTCAATTGGGACATGCCAAATTTCCGGGGCTCAACACACCTGTGGGTTGTGGCTACTATATTAGACACTGCAGGCCTAGAGTTTAGTTTAGGAGTGAGACCAAACCCAATTTGTCTTCCTACCTCAGACCTTGACCTCTTTCAGTCCACTTGTAGACTCAACAGTCCCTATTTATCCTTCTAAAAAGCAACTCTAATCATGTCATTCCCCCCTGCTTAAGAGATATGATATCTCCTACCAGTAACATTTTTTGAAAGACTCTTCCACAATCTGACCCCAATTTCCCTTTAAACTTGTTCTTTCTYGTCCTGCTCTTAAAGATATGACCACATGCTGGGCACGGTGGCGCAAGCCTGTAATTCCAGCAGCTCTGGAGGCTGAGACAGGAGGATCTAAACAACTCTTTGAGCCCCTGTCTCTAAATAAAATACAAAATAGGGCTGGGGATGTGGGTCAGTGATTTTGAGTGTTCCTGGATACTCCCGGTACTCCCCATCCCCCACAAAAGATATGACCACATGATATAAACTTTTTAAGTCATCAGGTTTTCACGACCTCCTTGCATTTTTCTTTCTTGGCATGGGAACCTCYTCGAAGATAAATTCATTTATTCAAGGAGTGCCTACTGAATGTCTGCCAGTGTGCTGCGGGACACTGAACCCAATTCAAGGCGCTACTTGGGAAATTCCTWTGACCAACTCTTACCTCATCCCTCTTCTCAGTCTCCACTGAAGTCCCACCCTTATCTCTCCACCTCAGCTCTAAATGCAGCCTGCAAGTTTATAATCCAAGCGACTCTGGAACCTTAGGCAGGAGGATTCCAAGTTCAAGAACAGCCTCAGCAATTCAGCAAGACCTGCTTCAAAAAAATAAAGAAGGCTGGGGATGTAATTAAGTGGTAAGGCGCCCTGGGTTCAATCCCCAATACTTATCATTATTCAATCTTTAAAAAAAAWTTTTTTAGTTGTAGATGGCCATATCTTTATTTATATTTATGTGGTGCTGAGGATCGAACCCAGTGCTTCACACATTCAAGGCAGGCACTTTACTACTGAGCTACAGCCCCAGCCCCTTGTTATACAATACTTTTATTTCTTTAAAAATAATTTAAGCCCTAGCACTCAGCTGCTCAGTCTGTTCACTACTCCCACACCCCTTTAAAGTCCAGGAACATGCATTTGTTTCACCATGTCTTCAACGCTGTTCTCCTGGTGAAAGTTGAAGGAAGGGAAGAGGGGTGAAGGAGCAGTTAATTCCCACTTTCTCATCTGGGAAACTAAAGCACCGAACAGCAAGAGCTGAGGGTCACATCCAGCCAGAAATCCTAATGTGGAAAACAAGTCTTTCTGAGAGAGCCAGGTCGGCTGGGATTCCAGCACAGCACTAAATACCGAATCCGACTCCCACCCCCGCCCCAAACCAGCAAGGGATTAACCTAGGCAAACTCTGCGACCCGCCACCAGCGCACTGGGCAGGAAGCGGGAGCCCAAGAGGAAGTCTGCGTAGGGTGAAGCGACCTCTCTCAGTCGGCAGCCCTAGGGAAACCCACGTGGAAGGAGCGGCCTGGAGATATTGGGGCGGAGCTGAACGAAAAGGGGGCGTGAGGGCCGAGCCGGAAGGGGAGGTCTAGGGCCCGCCAGGCCACAGCTGGGCGGGGCGRAGTGGGAGGCGCGGGAGGGCTGCGCGAGCTTTGCTGTGCAGCGAACTGGAGACCATGTCAGGGGGCAGCAGCTGCAGCCAGACTCCAAGCCGGGCCATCCCTGGCACTCGCAGGGTGGTCCTCGGCGATGGCGTGCAGCTACCGCCCGGGGACTACAGCACCACTCCCGGCGGCACGCTCTTCAGCACCACCCCGGGAGGTAGGCACGGGCTGGGGCGTCGCACGCGGGCCCTGGGTGGACCGAGCGGGAGGGATCAGGAATCGCTGATTGGACTCGGCGTCCACACTCGAGGGCGCCGTAGCCAGAAAGAACGGATAAGGGGCGTCAGGGAGGCAGCAGGGGTCACGGAGTTGGTCTGCCTTCTAGGTCTCTGGGCGCATCGTCCAGAGCCCTGGCTGCAAACTGTCCCATCAGTTTTCTCCTGCAAGAGACGGCGGAGTGTCCCCCAAACACTGACAAGCACGGTTACAGGACTGCCACATGCCTAGGGATGTTGCAGTTTTGAGCGGGATAGGGTGGGGACAGGGTGGCCCACGGATCAAGGAAAGGCCTGGGCTGGAGTTCTAAAGCGATGGGCATTTTCTTTTGGAATAATTGCCTCCTGCAGAGCCCTTTTTACTTCCAGAGGACTCCTAGTGTTGCGTTGGACACGCGCCCTTTTACCAAAGCGTGGGGCCGAGGGTGCTGGCTTGAGCAGCGCTCCTCCGGCACCTGTGGCATGTTCCGTATTTACGCGTGTGGGATCCCCACGAAGGAGCCGGGCGCCGCTGGCAGAGCTGTGCGGAGGAACACGTYCCTCTGTCCGAGGGGAGGGGGGTACCGTGTGACCTCCCTGGGAGTGGATGAGGAAGAGGAAGCTGAGCTGGCACCGGAGGGGGCCAGCCTTGAGCTGCCTCCGGGAGTCCCGCATTCCCTCCCAGCTCGGGAGTCCCTGCGCACAGGCGCTGATGAAACGTACCCGCCCGTTTGCATGATGAAATCCTCGTGGCTCACCACTTCCCTCCCGTCGCCCCCACCTCCTTTTTCCTTTCTTCCCTCCCTTATGTGCTTAACGCTACTTCCCAAACTACTCGAGAACACTAGAGATCCTGGCGCACTGCTGAGTGGCGAAGGGGTGTCCCCCGTRGGGGAGGGACTGAAGGCTGTCTCCTAGCCCGCCGCCAGGCCACATACTCATTTTCTCAGGCAGCTGTTCCACCACCATCGATCAGAGCCAGATGCGAGGTCTTTGGGACTACTGAGTAATCTTAGAGATTGTTGCCCAATCGTGCCTTTTATTCCGTGCCTTTTATTCCGCCACGCTGGGGTCCCCGAAAGCTTGAGCACGTGTCTGTTGTGCATTGTCATACCGTTTTCCTAGATTGAACCAGAAATAGCAATCGGGTGAAGAAGAGGACACTGCTGTTTCTTTTATTAGAAAGTATCCCAGGGAAAGTTCTCAGGGCTCTTGCCACCCTTGACTTGAATTTTCTTTCCTTTGAGGAGCCCTTTTAAAAGTAGTCCATGTTGTTTCCCTTTGTCTTCCTCATGATGTTTGGCAGGACTTATTCCTGATACTCTTGGAGTTCTTAGTCCTGAAAGCTCAAGTAGCCCTTTTTTGCCCCCTTTGTTGCTGGGTGCGATGAGAAGATGGGTAAGCAATAGTCAGGGGTACTGTTTACAAGGAACTTGGATCYATTTCCCACTTTGGACTGGGGCTTTTGGCATACCACAGCAAAACCTCCCTAAGGGTCTTTAGAAGCTCCTGCATCAGAGTTTAACATTAGTTTCTGAGGACAACTGGAAGAAAGCAGGGCTAGGAGCCCCAAACTAGCTTTCTTTTGGCAATACTAGGGATTGGACCCAGGGCCGYGTACATGTTACACAAGCACTCTACTACTGAACTACATCCCCAGCCCTTTAAAATTTTTATTTTTTGAGACAAGCTCAAAAGTTGACCAGGCTGGCCTCAAACCAGTAATTGGGTCTCCTGCCTGAGCCTCCCCAATAGTTGTATTGTGTTTTGTGGAGCCAGCACAAATCWCAGTCCATAACCCAAGGAAACCCAGCTTCTACCAAAGTCTGCAAACTTGTTGGCCTAGGCATGAAATCTTCCTCCCAATCCCACTTCACCTCACCTGTTGATGTAATGAAAAATGGTCACACCTTGACAGTCTTTTGTTCAACTCCTGAGTACTGTTCTTAGTCTTCTCTATGCTTGGGAATTATCTGATGATGCCTTTAAATGCAGATTTTGATTTTGTAKGTCWGGGGTGGGACTGAGATTTTTGCATTTCTAACTAGCTCCCAGCTTTTGTTCCATAAAACATAATCTGAGTACTCAGGAATTTCTGGGATTCTATACAGCTTCCCTTGTCCTTTCAGATCTCTGGCAAAAAAATGATGATTCTATATAGGTAAAATTTTCTTGAGGCTGGGTCTGGAGAGACACACTTTTKATAGAATGTCTGTATGGCTTACTTGCAGCTTTCCCTGAAGAGCTATTGCAATAAGTCACTCCAGCTGGGAATGGCCCTCAAGCGTCTTGTCTCTGGAGGCTAAAAAGTGATCCATATCCATTCCTGTTTGCTTTCTATGGTCATTAGCCCTTTGTAGACTGAGCCACTGAGCTGAGGTTAGGTATCCAGAGAACTTGAGAGATTTGTTATGTGTGAATATTTGAGTCTGTGAAAATTCCAGTGATACCATAAGCAACAAAACCTTCAAATAAAGGGTCAAGAAATCTTTCCTCCTCCCTTGTCCATATCCACATTCCCAGCCTGTGTTGGACGTTTGACCCTAAAGAGTACAGGGGTTGCTTGGGTGAAAGTCATACCTAAGACCTGCACCATGGTAAGGTTAATCAGAGGTAAGCAGGTAGAGCTGCAAGTGTTAATTGCACCTTATTTTGTTAGACAAACAAAGTTCTGTGCCTGGGAAGCTGACCTTGGAGCAGCTGACAAGTCTCTGGTTATAGAACAGGCAGTGCTGGGAAGAAGGGAGGTATGCTGGGCACTGAAGCTAGGGTACAGCCAATGTCCTGAGGCCTTAGTCATAGAGGGGAGAAGTTACTGTAAAAGACAGCTAAGGACAGGTTAAGAGCATTTGGATGTTAAGGCAATGAGGGAGATAGAATGGGCCCTCTTCTCACACTGACCTGAGCTTCCTTTTTTTAAAAATTWTTTATTTATTATTATTATTATTATTAGTTCTGAGCTTCCTTTTAAAGTGGGCCATTCTGCATTATGTCCCTCATTAAAGACTTTGACTGGGAGGTAGGGTAGAACGGGAAACTGGTGTAGAGTACCCCCAACTCCCTCTGAGGTCTAAGCCTACTTTTTTGTTGTTGTTGTTGTTTGTTTGTTGTTGTTATTGTTTGGGGGGCTTTTTTGTTTGTTTGATTGGTTGGTTTTGGGGTTTTGCTACTGGGAATGGAACCAGGGGCACYTAACCAYTGAGCTKCATCSCCAATCCTTTTTATTTTTTTACTTTGAGATAGGGCGTTGCTAAGTTGCTGAGGCTAGACTTGAACTTGTGATTCTCCTGTCTCAGACTCCTGAGGCACTGGGTTACAGGCATGCACTACTATTTCCTGGCYAAGACTTCTTGTTTTTAAGGCATTCACCACACCCAGACTTAGAAGAATCATCTCAACCCCAGCCTGAGGTTGCTAGTTAGAAAGATGAAGACACGCCTAAAATGGGATTGTAGGTTTCCAAGAGAGTAGTATGGTTACCTGGGGGTGTGGCTCAGTGGTAGACTTGCCCAGTRTGCCTGGCTCTTGATTCCATCCCCAGCACCACAAAAAGAGAAAGTAGYATGGCCATTGTTGTGACTAGGAGAAACAGAGATGATGGCTTAAGGGCAAAGACTTTCAGTTATAAGATGAATAAATTCTGGGGAACTAATGTTTAGCATGGTGACTGTAGTTAATACTATATTTTTATTAGAAATTAGCTAAGAGAGTAGACATGGAAAAATCCACAGTTACACACACACACACACACACACACACACACACTCACACTCTGAAGTGCAGTAACGGATGTGTTAATTTGTGGTAATCGTTTCATAAATGTTTTGCAGTATGATAGCAAATCATTATGTTGTACACCTTGTATGCAGTTTTTGTAACTATTATATCTCAATAGAGGCTGGGGACAAAAAGAATTATAATCATCAAAGGCATAGCTATAGAATGGAGTGATTGGACCTCCCCCTGCCCTTGGACCCTCTCACCCACAGGACTTTTTGATACTCAAGTGAGAACTCTTCCCTCTATACTGTTACCCTGAGAGGAAAGAGTCTTGATTTGATGTTGTTCCAGAAAATAAGATAGGAAAGAGTGGTGATACTGGAAACAGAATTTTTTCTTTTTCTTTTTTTGTAYCAAGGATTGAATCCAGGRGTACTTAACTACTGAGTCCCATTCCCATCCTTTTTTATTTTTTATTTTGAGACAGGTCCTTGCTGAGTTGTTGAGGCTAGCCTCAAACTTACAGTCCTCCTGCCTCAGCCTTTGGAGATCCTGGGTTACAGGCRTACGCACCTTGCCCAGCTTGTACACGTGAATCCTTGCAAGTTCAAACAAATAAAAAGCTGTTACTTTCTGGTCTGACACCATATCGGTGTTCTCTCCATCATGATTCATAAGAAATGAATCATGTGTGTTTGTTTTCATGTTTATTCTCTAGGTTAGATGGGAAGTTCTTTCAGAGCAGTCTTACTGGTCTTTATATCCCCACTATGTAATGCCAGGTGTTCAGAAGCTCGAGAATTGGGCTGGGGTGAAACTCAATGATAGAGACTTGCCTAGCATTTACCTAGTGCTGCAAGAAAAATAAAAGAGGGGGGAGGGTGAAGATTTTAAAAGAATCCTGGAATGAAAGCATTCCCCTCTAGATAATCTAGTTTCTTTGTCATCATTCCTGGATGTCAGTTGGTTAATGATAATGTTTAAGTTTTCCTTTCAGTTATAGGGTATAATTTATCTCAGATGTACCAGGGGCAGATGCTAATTTTTTCAGAGTTTCCCCACTTATTTCAGTATTACAGAGAGGCCTAGTACTCATATTACATATTCAGTTATTGCACAAGGAGTCAAAGTAAGTTTTTCTTGTTCTGAGTCAGTATTGGGCCAGAGTCTCAAACTCTGGGATTCGTGCTTCTTATTTAACTGTTTGCACGAGCATTGCTGACTAGATGAGAATAGGCAGCTG